ATCTAGGCTGAGGCCGCGGTACCTTATTGCGTTAGCTCTTCAACCCCGTCTGAATATCGGCCCTGTAGTGTAGGCCCCGTCTGAAGTTGTCTATTGGCTCTTCGTGCAGTTTGGTTCTGGTCGGCGGCGAGCTACCCTTGCTTGAGGATGGATGCTCATATCACTACAAATAGGATTAAACAAAGTCGCTTTCTCAGTCCCTGTACCCCCACATATCTTTGCTTAAATCTTAAAACTGCGCAACAGATTTTGATGCAGTTTTTTTAATAAATTGAGTGAGTACCTATAGAGGAAATCAGTGATTCAAACTAATATTATACATTCAAAAGTAACTTTGTCTGTCTGTCTGTTTGCTTCATGCCTAAACAACTGAACCGATTTCTGTGAAATTTGGTACAGACATAGTTTGAAACTCGAAAAAGGACATAGGATAGGATAGTTTTTATACCTAAAATCTGCAAAGAAGTCACTATTCCGCGCTAACGAAGTAGCCGGCAAAAGCTAGTTATAAATAATTGAGAAATTTACTACCCCTTTGCACTTATAAGAAGCTGGGACGAGTCGCTAGTTAATTTATAAAATCTAAAAACTTAAGCTGTACATTACATCTCCTTCCACAGATAAGATTGTGTTTAAAAATAAAAATATTGGAAATAACAAATTCATTCAACTGCATGTTGATGTAAATGAACTATTTATAATGTTTGTACTTAAATGAATCTGTTAGATAAAGATAATAATGTTAAACAAACTACAATAGTACTCCCATTTTATTACAGGATCGCACATCGATCTGACACGTGGACCACCTGATGGTAACACCTGCGACATGTAGAAGTTACAAGGTGTTGCTGGCCTAAGGATTGGAGGATTTGGGGATTTGGAGATTGGGGGAGGCTGTCTTCATTCTCACATCCTGAGAACGTTCAATGCCGTTGGACTATTATTTGGCCTCCTCTTCATTTAAAGATTGCTATTTCCACGCTCACATCGAAAACACAACGCTATGGTTGTTTCACGCTGGTTTCTACAGTACTGTGGTATCACTACAGTTAAACAATTTCGCATATAAGTATCACGGGGAGTGTTCCGAGGAATTGTTCGGTTTGATCCCCGCCGCATCTTTTCGCCATCGTTCTACACAAAAGCGTCTTCATCATCATCATCATAAAGATGGTTAGCAGTAAACAACTGTACGATTTACGAAACTTTCTGCCCTGCACAGCAAAACTTTGCAATGATTTTCCGGCGGCGGTATTCCCGAACTGTTACGACCTTCAAACATTCAAGAAACGAGCGTACTCCTTCTTTAAATACCGGCAACGCACCTGCGACTCCTCTGGTGTTCCAGATATCCCTGGGCGGCGCCGATTACTTACCATCAGGGGATTCGAAGGGTCGTTTGCCTCGCATTCCATGAAAAAATGATTTTTGTATTGAATTTATCTTATCCAGTTACAAGTATTACATTACGCTTTCAGTCATCAAAAAAGTATATAATACATTAAGCTATGTGCAAATGAAGCATAGCAGGTGAAGCAAGGTGAATTTTATGTAGGTAATCTTTAAGTGCTGACCAATAATAATTTAAAGTTATTACCAAATAGAACGTATTTTTGTTCTAATATGTGTCCTATTACCTATAAAATAAAGTAGTATGATTTTAGACTTTGCTCAGATAGTACTAGATACTGAAGTTTGTACTAGTTCGAAGTACGAAGTCTGTCGCTAGTAACTTCACAGATAACTTGGAGTTCAAGGGTTGTAGGAAACTTTATATTATTATGTAGGCACCTATCATAGTGTAGTGTGACCAAGTCTTTGGCTAGAGAAATCAGGAATAGGAAGACACAAAAGTTGAGCGCTATCTTCACAAGTCTTTATTTTTTTTTTTGTTTGAATGAAATGTTAATACCCTTAACTAGATTTTTTTTTGGAACATCCACATGAATCAAAACCTTTTTGGCAGGATCTACTGTAGGTGTCTACAGTAGATCCTGCCAAAAAGGTTTAAAAACCAGGCTGAAAAAAAACCATGAAAATGCTGGCACACTGTATCCGTGCTGTTCTAGTCGATTTCTGGGTCGATAAAAATATGAAAATAAAAATATGAAAATATAATAACTAACACAATATATAATAATTATGGGATTCGGGGCAGTCATTCGTGTTTCAGTTACGCGCAAACAAACATTTTGGTCATCATCATCTTCCTGCCCTTGTCCCGTTTTATTTGGGGTCGGCGCAGTATGTTTTTTCTTACATTCTGTCCTGTCACTCCTCTGTCTTCCATATCACTTCTCACACAATCCACATGCTTTTCATCCCTCCATTTTACATGGCCATACCAAGACAAACGGTTCCCTTTCAACTTTTCAGTCACTGGCGCCACTTTCAAACTTCCTCTATTATACTAATTTCTCACTTTATCCATTCTCGTCACACCACATATCCATCTCAGCATTCTCATCTCTGCTACATGCAATCGCTTTTCATCCGTCTTTTTCAGAGCCCAACATTCTGACCCATACAGTAGGACAGGCCTTATCACTGACTTGTAGATTTTACCCTTCAACCTGAGGGGCATCCTGACCTGTCGCCATTTCATCCATCCTGAGTTGATCCGATTGGCCACGTCTCGGTCTATCTCACCATTTCCTTGAATAAGCGAGCCAAGGTACCAAAACAAACATTTTGGTGGTAAATAAAATTCATGCAGTCAGATATTAAGAAAATTTTTGTGTAAGAATTTTTTATGATATAGTTCGGCAAACGAGCAGACGGTTACCTAAAGGTAAGCAATCAGTGCCGCCCATAAACACCCGCAACACCAAAGCAGTTACAAGTGCGTTGCCGGCCTTTTAGGAGTAAGGGTTTCGGATATATAAGGATTGGGAAGGAATGAGGGGAGGAGGAGGGATTAGGCCTCCGGTAACCTCACTCACACGGCGAAACACAACGCTTTGGTTATTTCACGCCGGTTTTCTGTGAGGCCGTGGTATATCACTCCGGTCGAGCTGCCCCATTCGTGCCGAAGCTAGGCTCGCCACACTTAATAGATTTGTCGGACTTCTTCGAAATAACAATTTTCCTTTTTTTATTGTAATGCTCTCGGTTTTTGCACCAAATGAACATATTAAAGCGATTTCAACAATCTTTAGTACAACAGAATTTTGTACTAAGGATTAGTACAAGATACAATTTTTTATATCTGAATAGTTTTACGTATGAAGAAATATCTCTCATATAAACAAAAGAACAGAATGGACACCATTTGCCTTGTTATCTCAGAAAACATCTGCTAGTGACTGTACTTATTCCTGTTTTAGCAAAACAATTCGAAGGAGATCATCTAATGTGAGTTTCATCATTTCCGCCTCGACTTTCAAGAAAAATATTTATGTGTTTAGTTTAAACTAAAACAAAATACCTATATTTTTATCTCATCGTCCGATTTCAAGTCTAATATTATAACAAGGAACTATGTACCTACATATTATGTATTATTATTTTTAAAACATTGTTATATTTATATACGCAATATTATATTATAGTTTACAATTTGTTCAATATACGTAGGAGGATGCGTCATTGCCTCAATAAATATGCTATAAATATTGTTTTAACATCTTACTAATACTATAAATGCGAAAGTTACGATGTTTGGATGTTTGTTACTCTAATACGCCAAAACAGCTGGATGGATCTGGATTAAATTTGGCACAGGCATAGGATACTCCGGGATTGGACGTAGCCTGCTTTTTATCAACATACCACGCGGGCAACGCCGCGTGCGGGAGCTAGTCTTTTATAAGTATTCATGTCTATTTTATTCAAGTAGGTATGGGTCATGCTTCGGCACCTGACCACCACAACGCTGTGTTTCACCATATGAGTGAGGTTACCGGAGGCCCAATCCTTAATCCCCCATCCCTTCCTAATCCTTGAATCCCCATAAACTCCTTACCACCGTAATGCTGGCGACGCATTTGCAACTCCTTTGTTGTTGCGGGTGCCCATGGGCGGCGCCGATGGCTCACCGTCAGGTAATCCGCATACTGGCTGTTTAGCGTATCACATTAAAGTTAACAGAAACGCGGCACGTTGCAGAGAGAGTTTTATCGTAGATCGCTGCAGTGCTGATCTGCGTCATCAACACTAATGTATTATGTGCAATGTATAATACACGTCACGTCGTGGTGGCCCGGAGGTTAACCAACCCGCTTCTCATGCATGAGGAGGGTTCGAAACCTGGCAAGTACCAATGTACTTTTTCCGAGTTATATGTACTTTCTACACACCACTGACATACGGTGAAGGTAAACATCGTGAGACAACCTGAACTTATAATTTCTAACTATAAGTTTGAAATCCCCTGCCCGCATTGAGCAAGCGTGGTGATTAATGCTCTAACCTTTTCCGTATGAGAATAGGCCTCTGCTTAGCAGTGGGCACTTATAGGCTGATGATGATGATGATGGTGGTGGTGGTGATGGTAGGTATAATACTAAAAACGCGTGACGCGCCGCGTCTCCGTAATCGAAGCTTTAGGCTTTTGTCTCATTTCACTAAGGGAAAATGGTTTCGGTGTAGTGCTTCACTGCATTCGACAAGAACGAATTTTACTTTGGTTCCTCCAAAATAAGTATACAATAGCACACAGACAGACATCTAATAAAAGCAAAAAAATTGGTGCTACTATGGTTTATATGTATGCACATTTGCTTTCTACAGTCATGTCCCTAATAAACTTAAAATATGACATTCAAGGATCTGTAAGGTTCGTCGTAAAAAATGTCATCTCCTGTGTCCTGAAAGGCACGCTAGCGCCATCTGTCAACAGCAAAAATCAAACAAACAACTCAATAACAAAATAATGTTTATTTAATTTCAACACAAAAACATTGTAAGTACATACATTCAAAAATATACAAAAAAAATCGTGACAAAGGTAACTTCGAAAATAATTTATTTATTTTACGTATTTATTTGCTACATTTTATTATAATTGTACATTAAATTGCATTGTGACTTTAACGTTTAAAATTAAGAAGGAATGCCATTTGAAAAGATATCTTACACTAATAAAAATAACGGCTCTAATGGCTTAACTAAATAATAAGTTAGGTATAGAACTCCTTATAACATTAACATTTGCTATTTTTTTTACTAAACAATCACCCTGTATTTATTATTTTTAGTCATCACTCGATGTTAATTTTAGTCTGAATGAGATAGGTACTATTACGTGGAATTAAATGCTAGAAACAGGCACTTTGTTTTTTTTCTAATTTAAACAGTTTCTGATATTATTGACGTCATTTTTTTAATTATTTTTCTTATAGGTTGGGAGACGCCTATTAAATTACAATAAGCAATCTGTTGAGTACTTACTTTGATAAAACAAATTTAAAGTATCAGGCGTCAGATTGCTAAACCTTAATAATCATAATAGTGTAGTTAAAAAAAAAATACAAGTAAATTCCTACATACTTGCTACAATTAAATTTTATTTGTTGTACTTTTCGATTACAATTCATTTTTCTTATATTATTTTCGTGTTTATATGGACGGAACCGTGTTGGACGGGAAAGCCACTATTTTCTTGGAAATGACTGGAATTTTCTAGTATCAGTTTTTGAAAAAAAAGTAAAAGTATTGCAAACGTCACAGACAGAGTCACAGACTTCATTCATATAAAGTTTGCTTCAGAACCGTAAGTGCCAATAAAAACGTTATAACCAAAAACAATAACTTGGTTCTAATACTGATAGCAATTTTACTTAGTTGCAAATGAAATTAATTAATCAAAATCATTTTTTCTATAACCGAAATAATTAAAATATTTAGGCTCATGTCCGCCAAACAGCGCACGCTGCTCACAAATACGAATCCCGGCGCAACTCGAAACTGGTAGAGCATTTCTCGAATAGTGTATTAAGAGTCGAAGAGTGTATGTCACAGTTTCCAGTTTTTTTACCCAGTCGTTGGGACAAAGATTATTATATTTGAATAAGAAAAAATTTAAGTACCTAATCATTAATTGTCTGTATTAATTGCAGTAAGTGGTATATTAAAATAATTAAAAATAATATTGGTAAATGACTTAAGTTATCACCATTTGTCCTGTACTTATTAGTTCTAACTGTAAGGGTCCAGGGACATCGTTAATGGTCATCGTGTGGACGCTATCGACGAGAGCACGGCTCTTGGCAACGTGTTTGTTGGTACCTGGGGCTCCTCCCAAGTTTCTGGTAGACCGTACTTCTTCGGTTTCAGTACGTAGATAAACTGAAAGTAAGAAATTGGAGTTAGAAACAATGAATTTATTCTTTGGTGGGTTTTAATCCACTTGAACTTTATTGATTGTTACAATAAAGTTCAAATGGATTATTAACATACTATAAGGATGGAAGTGGGACATCTTTCGTCTTCATTTTAATAACAATTAAATAAAATTTAATAAATAAACTTAGAATTGTGCCTCGTAAGGACAGGACTTGTGTTGTTTGTGTTGAATTAGATCATTGTCATTATCATCACCATCAAAAATTTTATTTTTAGGGTGACATCATCTGATGAGTTCTTTGGGTAGGACGAGAGAGAATGTCAGACTTAGATAACTTAAAACCCCGTTCCTTGTCATGCTCCAAGCCGATGCCTACTAGCCTTGACACACAATCCCAACTGATCACCATTTAGCACTAGGAGTATATAACAAAATTAATAGTTGTCGTAGTGGCCTGTTTGAGTAAGCCTGGTGATTTATGCTCAAAGCTTCTCCGTGTGAGAAGAGACCTTTGCTCACCTGTGGGTACTTATAGGCTGATGATGAAGCTTAAAAAAATTAATATCTTACCACAAGAGAAGCAAAAGTGGCTCCTATAAGGAACCCGGCGGCGACATCGCTCCAGTGGTGCATATGGTCCTGGACTCGAGACAGGCCGATGAACCAAGCGGCAATCAGCACGGCGTACTGCACAGCGTGACGTAATAACTTCGAACCACGCCATTTGCCCTTCACTTGGATGTAGAACTGTAAAAGAAAGAGTAAACTTCAGTTGTAACACGTTTAACACTATCGATGATCAAAAATTATTTGATTAAGGAACTGTGTCATACCAAAATGATATTTCAAAAAACATGGGCACAGAATTTTCTCTTTTTGCATTGCTTTGCGCAGCAGTTTGGTCACAGCGCCAAATTGTGCATATTATACAACTAGTCAAATTAAATAAGTAGGTTTTTTTTCAAATCAGAAATTCGAGACTTTTCTATGGTATTTATTCGCTATTGTGTGATGTGCAGTCGTGTTTTAGCGTCATAGTGTACTAATATTTCTTTAAAATTTCCACCTATAAGGAAAAAAAGGAAGAAAGAAAGAAAAACCATTTATTTTTGCGCAGAGCACAAATGAACTTAACAACTTGACTGCACGGTTGGTGGCTGGGCAACTGGCTGGCGTGCATGTCGTGTCGTACATGTCGCGAGTTCGATTCCCGCACGGAACAACACTTTGTGTAATCCACAATTTGTTTCGGGCCTGGGTGTGATGTGTATGTGAAATTGAATGTTTGTAAACGCACCCACGACACAGGAGAAAATCGAAGTATGGGGCAATGCTTTTTAAAGAAAAAAAATCTACAACAAAACAATAAAACATTAATATAGGAAGCGAATGTTAACAGGAAAAAATAACAGAAAAAAAAAACAAAACAAAAGTCTTAAAATACTAGGAGTTACTACAGTTCAATTACATATGTATATTAAAGTATATATCATAAAACCAATTATAGTGTAATTTTTTCTCATATACATGAAATGATTTATTGAAGAAGTGTACTCGACTATTTCCAGATAAGTATTCGCTTCTATGTCTAGTAATGCTGTGTTGCAGGTTAGGTTAATTTAAGCAAAAGCAACAGCTCGGTGGTAGAAATTTCTACGGAGAGCTAACACTACAAAAAATACTTACAATGAAGAACACAGCACAGTACATGGAGAAGCTAGCGTGCGAGCTGGGGAAGGATAGCCTGGCTTCTGCAATCTTAGCTGGATCGCTACCTGCACACGTATAGTCGTTGATGTACCCCAGCCTGTTCGCTGAAGAATTCGCGGTAGGGTATGGCACGCAAACCTGCGGATCAAAATTTATAAAAATCATTTTAGACTAAAAAATTATCGATTTCTTAAGTAACAAAATTACAATCAACTAGATGGTGCGGAGAGTTTAATACCTTCAGGTCATAGGAGGCTTTGTTTTTGCTTACGAAAAAATAAGAAAAACGTAATCATAATATGACCTGTACGAGGTTTTCTGCTGAGCATAAAGCTTCAAGTTTTTCTTATTAACTTTTAGACCGGTTGGTAGTTTTGCTGCTAGCGAAAAAATTTTTATCAACTGATACTACATTGAGTCGTGGATTCATATTCTGTGATAAACCAAACTACCCAACCATCACTTCCCAAGCATGGAGATTACAGATATCCCTAGAGGGGTTTGCGGAAAAACAGCAGAGAACTCTCTCAGCTTGTTGCTGATGACTTAATATACTTACATCAATGAAATGTGGCCTCAGTCTGCCAATAACATATTTGGCGAAGTCTGACGTGAGTTGCTGACAGGATGCTCCGAAGGCGAAGACACCAATACTGCGGTAGCTCTCCCACACCCAACCGGGCATCACAGATCCGGATAGGAACTTCTCACCAACACCTTTCCCTTGTTTGTCTCGAACGATTTCCACTAAGAGTATCTGAAAAAGATGGCACCAGTTGTAATTATCTCAAACGGACTTGATCATCATACTCTCATCAGTGTGATTCTGTACGACTTCATTCTAAACTTCGAATCTGAATCCGCTGTGAGTAGTAGTACACTAGCGCTACACTTGCGAGTTGAACTAAATTGACAGCATCATTTTGAAAGATAAAGTATGAAATGACGTTAAAAGTTTTGGCATTCTAAAATTTAATTTCCCCGTCACTTCGACGCTCACTTCGCACTCGAACACGATTCAAAATCAAACAAATTTTATAGAATCGACGTGCAGGTTACGTTCCTGAAGTTTAGGAGGCATTCATTGGGTACTTAGTCTTTTTTTATTTGGTATGCAGATAAGAAAATAGGATTGGCTCAGTGCTTGATCTGGTGCTTGACACTACTTGGACTCGAGTGTCCACATTAAGCTAAACTCTAGCCATTTTTTGCTGTAGTGAATAAAGTTTTTTAGTTGTATACATTATCTTACTTACATTTTGAATAAATGAAGAAATATTATTTCTTACTTCTTTCTAATACATTATTCAAATTCATTCGTATAATCATTACAGTGTTGGTAACATTACCAAGATTCTTTGGAAAACGACAAATCCTGGTAATAAATTGTGATGTGGATTGTCACATGAAAAAGTCGAATTTGGAATCGACTGAATTGACCTAAAGAAAGTAGGATATAAAACAGATTAAGATAAGGAAGAAGATTATCCAAGACTAAAGAATTAACGTACTCATTAATCCGAGTAAATATTTATTTAAATTTCTATTTCTTTCATCTCTTGACTAGGTTAACGATCTTTTCATTTTAAGTTAGTGTTGGTTTAAGATTAGTATAATGCTATTCTGAATAACTATGTTTTGATTAAACTTTATAGTCCTTAATCTTATTTAGTGTCTTAGATTAACCTTAATAGGTACAGCTCAGTTTGTGTGAATGTAAAGGAATCAAATATTTTTAGTTTTTTATTCCTTAGTAACGAATTTGTTCCGAAAACAATTGTTTAAGGACTGGGTTTTTTGAAGGGGAGAAAATTTTCAAATCATTTCACTTGGGCTAGAAGAAATGTCAGACTCTTCCACTTGACCAAACAAAAATAAGCTATATCGTAATACACACAAGGGTTATCATAAACTTCTTACCGTACAGACAATGAAACCGAATCCAGCCCCTGCTAGAGCGCTCACGGATATGAGCTGATCCTTGTACGGCAGTCGTATTGACATGTCATTCACATCGTACCCTCGACGGTATGGCGTCGCCCACAGCGACAGCCCCAGGATCGGGAACGCCACTGAAAATAACAAATGATCCATCAATTTGTATAAATCTCTTTAATTACTGCAAAGCTATCTTACAATCTGACTGACAAGGGACAGTCAATATTACTGGCCGTGGAAAGCTAATATTGCGTAAGGAGTGCATAGAAACACTAAGAAGGAGGCATCAAAATTCCCATTGTGATAGTAAAAACGGGCATCGTCTTTTGTATCAACTTGTTGATAGAAGCTATACCTAACCAACCCACCAGTGCTAAAAAACATTAAAGTACCTTTAGAATCGAAAACGATGTTTACTTGTGGGAGACCTATGCTTTAGGTTGAATGAAAAAACACAGTCATGCGAGTAAGGTTACTAAAGGCTTATCAGCTATTCTCTACCCGCATTCCCAAATGTCCAATCCCAACAAGGCTAGCAATGCATTTGTAACTCCCTGGGCGTTACGAATATTTATTTGCGGTGCAAATAGCGACTCGTTTGCCATAAAAATATGTATGAGTTGTGTGAAGATTTGAAACAAACAGTTGGAGGAATTCATAATGATGTTATCTTATAATCTGTAACAAATTTAGGCATAAATAATCCCTTTTTTAAAATGGGACGGGGAATTTTATAAACTAGAGCTATGAATTTTGAAGTAAATTTCTTATGCCCGTTTTCACCAACAGCCCCTAAAATTTAAGTGTCTCTTAAGCCAATATAAGGGACACTTATCGCGAGTTTTGTTTTCACCAACGTTTAAGTGTCACCTATATCATTAGGGGTTCCTTATAATTTAGGGGATGAATTGACGACCCCGTAACGTTTAAGTGACACATAGTGTTAGGTTATTTTGCGAATCACCAAACAGTATTTTATCCTACTGAATAAGATAAAAAATAATAAAAATGGATAATAACCACTATTTATTTGAAGATTTTAAGCAATTGAAGATATGGAATTGTTAAGTAACCGACATTTGTATAGACGACCTCGTATTTATCGTGAAAGATCGAAAGATTTTGTAAAATATGATGAAAAAGACTTTTTCATAAGATACAGGTTACCTGCTCAACCTTACTTGTATTTAAAGAAATAAATCTGTGGCACCGGCAAAATCTAAGGGCACACAGTAATGTGTGCCCTTAGATTTTATGCAACAGGCAATCAATTATTATCTGTAGCAGATCTCAATCCCATCAGTGTATCTACTTGCAGTAGAATTATAAAAAGAGTGTCTGACGCTATCGTGGGTCGTGGCAAAGCGAATTCATACAATTTCCAGACACCGAAGAAAAACAACAAATAGTAAAAGAAGAATTTTACAGAATAGCTCGATTTCCAAATGTTTTAGGATGTATAGACTTTGCACACATAAAAATTCAATTATAAGGTTGGGCGTTTAGAGAAACACAGGTCCTTACGAGTAACCATTTATTACTGAATCTCCTATGAAATAATACATGATTTAATAAGATGGATGGAGACACGCACACATACAGATACGGCAGATCTTTGTGTCATATTTATTGAGCCTCCAGCGAACACCGTCGTTTGCACACCTATCGTCTTTCTATGATGTCTCTAATAATGATATTCAAAAGTCTTTTAATTGTATTAACTAGAAACCTTCTTTACATTTATTCATGTGATAAATTATAGGAGGAGATGATGTCGAACTATTCCGGAATAGAAAAGGCAGTATGTCTATTATTATGCACACAATAAGTACTGCAAAATTATTAATAACTGATGTGGTGACACGCTGGCCAGGATAAACAACATTCTTTATCTTCAAGTGAAAAATTTTGACCACATTTCCTCTTTTCTGCCACCGTAATTAATAAAAATTTGGTATTTTTTGAAAATACACGAAATGATTGAAATGAAACTGTCACTGGATAGTGGCATCAAAATGTCACCGGTACCGCGTCTTTGTAAGCTATGGCATTCAACATACAGCCAAAAAATAAAAACACAACTTTTTGTTACTAATCTAACATTCACCAGTTCAAGACTCTTCTTTTCGAAATAAATTGAAGTTAGAAAAGTGAATTACTTGTTTTAAGGTTGTATATTTACGAAAATAACAATAGAATTGTCTAATCGATTCATTTATCGATAACTGTTTGCATAGTTCCTCAACACTAAACGTCACCTAATTAGGGGGCTTTTAATTAGGTGACACTTAGGACAGTGAAACAAAATTTAAGTTAAGGGATGATTTAAACGGTCCCGTAATTTAAGTGGCCCTTACTAAGGTGACTTTTTAGGGGCTGTTGGTGAAAACGGGCATTAGACATTCAAAATTCTTTGATGTTCTTTTCTTCTCTAAAAAAGTTGACTGCACTTGACTAGTTGTCAATAACCTCAAACATCATCTCCAATTATCACATATTGAGGTGGCGTAGTGTAAACTTTACATACATATATAACAGAAATTTAAAGCTAGATATGGTCATATATGTTTTCATTTCAAATTAAACCTTGTAAGATATGGATTAGGCGTGATACAGGTTCAAGCAAATCTAATTGAGATTACACGTTTATTATCTACTCCGGGCACGCTACTATAGCAGCGGTAAGACCCCTCTTTGAGGAATGGCTTGAGAGACGCCACGGCGTCCTCACCTTCCGCCTGACGCAGGTGCTTACCGGGCACGGCAGCTTTGGTAGGTTCCTGTTTCGGATCCAGCGGGAGGAAACGCCCGAGTGTCGTCATTGTGCGAATCACCTGGAGGACACGGTGGAGCATACGGTGGCGGAGTGCCCTGCTTGGGCTGAGCACCGCCGTGTTCTCAGGGAAGTGATCGGCGGCGGCGACCTCTCGCGCCCGGCCTTAATCGAGGCCATGGTGCAGCGTGAGAGGAACTGGGAAGCTATCTCCTCCTTCTGCGAAGCAGTTATGCTCGCAAAGGAGGAGGCGGAGCGCGTGAGGGAACTATCCTCCTCGCGCCCCAGCCGCCGCAGAAGTCGACATTCCGGACGTCGGGGATCGAGAGATGATCTCCGGCCACCGTAAGCGCGGGTCTGCGGACGGCGAGTAAGGGTAGCTCGCCGCCCGACCAGAACCGGACCCGAGCGTACGGCGCGTAGCGTTCCGCGCGCGCCTCAAAGAGCCAATAGACCACCAGAGTCGGGGCCCTAAAGGGCTGATGTTTAGCCGGGGCTGCGGGGTAAGCGCAATGAGGCACCGCGACCTCGGCCCAGAGCAGGAGAAGGAACGGGGGGGTTTTTAGTCAGTAAGAGTCTGACACTCTCTCTCGCCTTACCCTGGGCGGGAGAAGTCATTGGATGATCTTCCCCTGACAAAAAAAAAAAAAAAAAAAAAACGTTTATTATCTACTAGCTACTCTCGCGCGGTTTCACCCGCTGTTCGGCTCCATTTAATCGTAGCGAGATGTTTTATAGCCTATAGCACTCAGGAATATTGTAGCTATCTATCAGTGAAAGAATTTTAGAAATCCAACCAGCGGTTCCAATGATTACCCCCTACATACAAACTTACAAATTTTTACATTTCTTTATAATATTAGTATAGAAGTATAGATTATCCTTGAGAGGTTTTTCTCATGATGTCATGAATCCCCCCTGAATGTTTACATACTCTGACTGCATTTTCAAATACACTCTGGTCTTTCGCAGTTTCAAGTCAATTCTTATAATTTTCTTGTGTGGTGCCCTCGTCTTCTAGTGGGTGTGAATTATTATACGGAGACTTAGTAGTTTCAACGTATTATATCAACGTTCTCAAATAAACTTGAGCATTTCGGACTATAATTTTCCAACCACTGCCAAGCGTAGAATGTATTGCAAACCCCTCTTATGTAGATGAAGACCCCGTTGTTGAGTACAACCATTGAGTTATGATCGTAAAAATTCTTTTGAACGTGAATCGTAAATATAAAACGGATTTTGTGTAATTATGTGGTGGCTCTGTGTAATATTAATATCAATTTCTCCTAATTATATGCACCTAATACTATTCAGATACCACTGACCAATGGTGTAGGAAAACATGGTAATTAAACCTAGGCTTACAGTATGTAGTTATGATTTTTAAATCACCCAAATTCACTAATCCGCTAATAACAAACGTAGTAATAAATGTTATTTCATTCTTCGTGTGAAAAGAGGCATTTTCACTGCCGTTGAATGTACTTATACGGCACAGATATAGTTTATAGCCTGGAATAAAACATGGCTGATGAAGTTGCTGGCAGATTTTTTTTATACTCCTATGTCGTGATTTACATTCACAAACACATCTAGCCACTACGCCAGTCGTGGAGACGGTCAATCATGTATACAGGGTGTAAAAAGACACTTAACGAAGCCGAAAGTCTACCCATTATTTGGATCATTTTTTTCTTTAAGACCATAGCTGGGACTCCACGGGTTCTCGAGATATTGAAGGTCAAAGATGCATTTTTATCTTTTATTTTTTTGCTCTATCGAATTCTAAGTATTATTACAAAACTTTTTTCCAAACAAACATTACCTGAATTTTCGATTTTTCTAAATAAATTACGCATTTGAAGTTACGAACAGTAATGTACGTAATAAATAAATGCAGACCCGCACAAAAACATCGTGCATCTCAGTAGGATTTTTATTTTATAGAATTGTTTTGTTGTTGCGAAGTAAAACGTCGCTAGCAAGCTTAGCATTAAAGTAAAACGTTAATGCTAAGCTACCTAACCTACGCACACAATAAAACGAACCCATTTATTTTTATTACATTGCGCGCAATAAAATTATTATTTTTTTTGATACCTAAAAATAAAAGTCGTTTCCCAGTGATAATTTTAGCGTAAAGCTACTTAGTTAGAACTGCAGTATGCGTAGTTACCGGCTTCGTTAAGTGTCTTTTTACACCCTGTATTATAGTGATTAATTTTGAATTCAATCAAGCGGACACGAAGGTAAAATATTTAATAAATCAGATACTTCAACTTCTTATCAATGTCCTCTAAAAATTGCGTCCGTTAACATTTATTAGAATCACAAATGAATAATACAATTTTCCTATCT